CATAGTGTATAGCACTGATATGCTATAAATGGTGGTTTGAATTACCCATATATGAGGTGTGATCAAACAATATGGTGAATGTTTAAATAAAAAAAATGTATTACAGTAAAAGACACATTTCCATTAATCCCTTTCAAAATACTCCTCCTTGCTTCAAATACCCTTAACCCATTATTTTTGCCACTTTCTGAAGCAGTTCTGGAAGTCCTCTTTCGTGAGTGTCTTTAGTTGTGCTGTCGTGGCTGCCTCAATGTTCTGAATCATTTTGACTTTGGGGAAGAGCCAGAAGTCACATGGTGTCGAATCTGATGAATAAGGTGGATGAGGACACATCGTAATTTTGTGTGTGTGTGTGTCTCAGTATAAACTCTTTTTAATGGGCAGAGAGTTATCCCCTCATGGACAGGCTGCCTCAGGTGATAGTGAGCAACCTGTCACCAGAAGTATACAAGCAGAAAGCAGGGATGTTGTAGAGAATGTGAGCACTAAGTGGGGGATATACCAGAATCTTTAAGACCCTTTCAGCCATGAGCATCTGGGATCTTTTTGGAGGCATCTGTGCCTAGGGGTGGGTTTGGCAGGAGCAGGGGCTGTGAGTGTTCACCTGTCGGATTGTCCCAGCAGCCAGCTGAAGTGGGGCCAGGCAGCCCGTACCATGACAGCCTGCACGGGGAAGTTGATCCTCTGTGGCAATGCTCCCACCAGCTCCTGCATCTTCTCCACCATGGCTTGGGTGTAGGTGCTATCTGGGAACAGGGGCACATAGAAGGTGGTCCAGCCCAGAGACAGGGTGGCCTTAGGATACTTCCCCTGAACCAAGGCCAGGAACTGTGTGGCATTGACCTCAATGGAGATGGGCACTTTGGGGCCCCTCAGAATGTCAGCATTGATCCACACAGGCCTCGGGACTTTCCCGTCCTTTGTCTGCTGCTGCAGGAGATCCAGGGAGGGCCCCAAGGCCTTGAGGCTCTTGAAGTCCAGCTTGATACCCTTCTGGGAAGAGGCCAACATGGCCTCCAGCCACTGCTGCAGGGTGTTGTCGCTATAGATGGCCGGGGGATGTGCCATGATGGGGACCCCTGTCTCAGTGGCTGCGTTGAGCCCTTCTACGGTGACACCCACCTCTAGGACCATGGCGCCGCTGTTCAGTGCAGCCCTCATCTCTTTCTGGCTGTTGGCAGCGTGGTACCAGGTGACTAGCGGGCCGTCCCATTGGCTGATCTTGCCCGGGCTCAGCAAGTAGTCCAGCATGTTGGCATCCGGATGGCAGGCTGCATCCTGCTCACAGCCTAGAAGGAAGGCTTGTTTTTCTGGAGACCTGTAGCAAGTGTCTTCCCTTCTCTGGTCCTGGTTCTCCCCTTTGTCCATAATGTTTTTATTTGACAAAAATTGCCATATACCAGAAATAATATGTGACACGGAGCATTGTCATGACGGGGGATGATTTACAGCACACTTCAAAACATGCCTTCTCTCAATTGTAGCTCACACCCAAGTGACTGCACCAAACAAGTTGAAACATGTCACACACTGTTTTTAAGGTTCCATGCGCTGATTCCCGTATTGAAGATCCTTGCCTTTTCATTGGACGGCACTCGGCAGCAGCATTCACCGTATTTGTTGATCACAATGGAAAGGCTCCATGTCACACATCGCTTCTGGTACAGCAATTTCTGTCAAATAAAAACATTACAGTGTGTCCTCATCCACCTTGTTCACTGTATGTGGCACTGTGCAAGTTCTAGCTCTTCCCCAAAGTCAAAATGATTAAGGACATCTAGGCAGTCATGACAACGCAACTAAAGGCACTCATAAAAGAGGACTTCCAGAACTGCTTCAGAAAGTGGCAAGAACTATGGGATGAGTGTGTTCAAAGCGAGGGGGAGTATTTTGAGGGGGATTAATGGCAACGTGTCTTTTACTGTAATAATTTTAAAAAATTTAAACATTCACTGTATGTTTTAATCACACCTCATATATTCTATAAGAGTCTTCCATAAGATCTTCAGGTGCTCTCAGATGGAGAAAGGGTGGAGAGTGTTGGCAGAAATAATGTATGCAGTTACTACTTCCCCAAATTTTGTTCTAGGCATGATATTTGAGGAAGTATATGGCCTTTTTTATGTTGAGGTACTTTCCTTCTATACCCATTTTATTAAATGTTTTAATCATAAATGTATGTTGTATCTTGTCTAATGCTTTTTCTGCATCTGTTGATATGATCTTATGATTTTTATCCTTTATTTTGTTTATGTGGTGTATCACATTGATCAATTTGGTTATGTTGAACCATCCTTGTGCCCCTGGAATGAACCCTACTTGATTGTGATGTATAATCTTTTTAACGTATTGTTGTATTAGATTTACTGTATTTTGTTTATGATGTTTGTGTCTGTATTCATCAGAGATATTGGTCTGTAATTTTTTTTGTGTGTGTTATCCTTACCAGATTTTGGTATCACGTTTTGACTCATAAAATGAGTCAGGCAGCATTGTCTCTTCAATTTTTTGCATGAGTTTGAGAAGGACAAGCATGAAATAATCTTTGAATGTTTGGTAGAATTCACTAGTGAAGCCATCTGGTCCTGGATTTTTCTTCTGGTGAGGTTTTGGATGATTGTTTCAATTTCCTTGCTGTTGATCAGTCTATTTAGATTTTCCAGTTCTTTGTGATTTAGTCTAGAAGGGTCATATAGTTCTAAGAACTTGTCCATCTTTTCTAGGTTCTTGAATTTGGTAGCATATAGTCTTTCATAATATTCTTATATGATCCTTTGTGTTTCTATGGTATCCATCATAGTTTTTCCTCTTTCATTTCTGATTTTGTTTATTTGTGTCTTTTTTCATTAGTGAGTCTAGCCAGCAGTTTGTCAATTCTATTAATCTTTTCAAAGAACCAGCTCTTTATTGCATTAATTTTATTTATTGTCTTTTTGTTTTCTAGTTCATTTAATTCTGCTCTAGTTTTTATTATTTCCTTCTTTCTGCTGACTTTGAGCTTCATTTGTTCTTCTTTTTCTAGTTCTTTAAGATGTAATATTAGAGTGTTTATTTTTATTTTTTTCTTGTTTCTTGATATAGGCCTGTAAGGATATAAATTTCTCTCTTAATACTGCTATTGTAGTATCCCAATAATTTTGATACATTGTATTTTCATTCTCATTTGTTTCTGTGTATCTTTTTATCTCTCCTTTTATTTCTTCTTTGATCCAGTCATTCTTTAGTAGCATGTTGTTTAATCTTCAAGTATTTGTGGTTTTTCCTGCTTTCCTTTTGCAGCTGATCTCTAATTTCTAAGCATGTGGTTGGAGAATATGTTTAGTATGATTTCAATTTTATTAAATTTGCTTAGGCTAGTTTTGTGTCCAAACATATGGTCTATCCTTGAGGGAATTCCATATGCACTAGAAAAGAATGTACAGTCTGGTGTTCTAGGATGAAATGCTCTGTAAATGTAAATTATGTCTATTTGGTCTAATGTGTCATTTAAAACTGATATTTCCTTATTGATTTTCTATTTGGATGATCTATCCATAGCTGTCAATGGCGTATTTAGGTCCCCTAGTATAATTGTGTTTTTGTCAATTTCTCCCTTTAGTTCTGTTAGTAGTTGCTTTACATATTTTGGTGCTATCTGATTGGGAGCATATGTATTGATAAGTGTTATGTCTTCTTCTTGTATTGTCCCCTTTATTATTATGAAATGTTCATCTTTGTCTCTTGTTACCTTTTTTATCCTGAAGACTGTTTTGTCAGATATAAGTATGGCTACACCTGCTTTCCTCTGGATGTCATTCACTTGGAGTATTGTTTTCTATCCTTTCACTTTGAGTCTGTATTTGTCCTTGCAAATGAGATGTGTCTATTGAAGGCAGCATATGATTGGCTTTTTGTTTTGATCCAATTTTCTGCTCTGTGCCTTTTTATTGGTGAGTTTAATCTATTTACATAGGGTGATTATTGACATAGGAGGGTTTTCTATAGCCATTTTAATTTTTCGTTTTCTGGTAGCTGGCTGTCTCCATTGTATCTTTGTCTTTTTGTTTCTGTCTGTTACATTAGTATAGAGGTTGGTATTCTATGATTTTCCCCTCTGTTTCCTCTTTTCTGTGTTATGTGTCTCATTCTGGATTTTTCTGAGTGGTTACCATCAAGTTTATGTAAAAGAAAATTTCATATATACAGTTCTTTTTCTTCAATGTGCCTCTTATGTCCGTTCTGCTTTGCAAATTCAGAACTTTACCCCCTCCCTTTTTATGTTTTTGTTGTTACAAATTATCCCTATTTGTGCTGTGAGTTCATTTCTGAGTTGCAGTAACAAGTTGTGCTCTTCTTCCCTTTTTGTATGTTTTAATCTCTTTACCCTTTATGTTATGTTTAATTGTATAGTGCCCTATTCTGTGTAGGGGTTGTCATTTCCTGCTTCTGTCTGTCTGTTAGTAATTTTACTCATTGTTTTGTATCCTTTTGTCTTTTTATTTCATGTAGACTAACCTCCTTCAGTACTTCCTGTAATGCAGGCCTTGTGGTAGAATATTCCCTCAGCTTCTGTATATCTGGGAAGGTCTTTATTCCTCCTTCATGTCTAAATGGTAACTTTTCTGAATATATAATTCCTGGCTGGTAATTTCTCTCTTTCTATAGTTTGATTGTTTGATTCGGCTCTCTGTTGGCTTGGAGAATTCCTGATGAAAAATCTGATTATAATCTAATGAGCTTTCCTTTGTAGATTACCGTCTTCTTTTCCCTGGCTGCGTTGAGAATTCTTTCCTTGTTGTTAATTTTTGACATCTTCAGTATAATGTGCCTTGGAGAATGCCTGTTGGGATTGAGGTAGTTGGGTGTTCTGTTTGCTTCTTGCATTCAAGAATCCAGTTCTTTCCATAGATTCGGGAAGTTCTTGTTGACAATTTGTTTGAATAGTCTCTCTGTTCCCTTCTCTCCCTCTCTTCTCCTTCTAGTATACCCTTTAGTTTTATATTGCTCTTTCTGATGGAGCCAGGTAGTTCTTGTAGAGTTCTTTCACTTCTTTTAACTCTCAAGTCTCTCGCTTCTTCCATCTGTGTCATTTCCAGGTTTCTACCTTCGATATCACTAATCCTTTCCTTTATCTGGTCAGCTCTATTTCCTAAGCTGGCTATTTCATTCTTCATCTCTTTTATTGAGTTTTTCAGCTCCAGAATTTCTATTTGGTTCTTTTTTGAAATTTCAATCTCTTTGATAAAATATTCATTTTGTTCACTGATTTTATTTCTGAGTTCATTAAACTGCTTATCTGAGTCTCTTGCATCTCATTTGAGTTTTTTTGAGAAATGCAATCTTGAATTCTCTGTCATTTAAGTCACTTATTTCCATGTTGTTAAGATTATTTTCTGGAGATTTTTCATTTTCTTTCTGAGCTGCCTTGTTATCTTGGTTATTCATAGCAATTGATGAATTATTTCTCTTCTTGAGCATTTACAGGAGTGAATTCTGTGGCAGGTTGATATGAAGAGGTCTAGGTCTTCCTTTCTTTTTCCCAGTAGGTATCACTGGAGCATTTTATTTTCTCTTGCCCTGTTCTGTCTTTTCACAGTGGAAGATTTCCTGGGGAGGAGGGTGTCTCTTCTGTGACCAGGTCACCTCAGTCTCAGAGGACCCCCCCTGCATGGGGGGATATGGTGGGCAATGGGGTTCTGAGCTCCTGAAATCCCTGTACTGGCCCTGTAGCCAGATGCAGAACTGTGTGCCTCTGCAGCCATTGGTGCCCCTGCTGGGATCAGCTGTGAAAGGTGGAGGTGGAGTGGATGGGAGAGCTAGTTGGTTTGTTTGTGGCTTTGTTGTCCTCTGAGTGATGGCGACTGCCAGACCACAGCTGCCTTGACTCAGTATGTCCTCCTTTGTTACTGGAATTAGCTGTGGTGTGTGTCTGCTGCTTAGGAACTTTCTCTCCAGTTCTCAGGGCTGTAGACATTCTGTTCTTTAACTTGACACTGGTACTTTTTTTTGCTTCTGGGGCCCAGTGCTAGCCCTGGGAGGGTACGGGAAGGCGAGCTCTGGGAGAGTGAGGGGAGGTGGTTAGGCTCCATGCCTTTGTTTTCTGCCTTGCATTGTGGGCTGTTAGACCACGGTTGTAGCATTTTTGTATTTGGTCTAGTCTCAAGTCTCTTCCTTGATCTCTGGGTTGAATCGTATTATATGCTGATCATTTAGGCAGGGTTGCTGGGGCCACAGAAAGTGCACCTGCAGTCTCAATCCTCCCCTCTCCTGGGACTGCAATTTGGTTCTGGCTGCATCCCATAGCCCCCATCTCTGCACTCCTTCCTTTCCTCCTCCCTTGTTCGTCCTGATTTGGCCCCCCTCAAATGTTTTGATATGTGGATCTCTCA